AGTAAAACTGACTATGTTGAAGATTGTGACTTTGATGTTGGTTGATAGACTGTTATTTTGAGTTGCATATTTTCTCCAACTGTAGGAATGTTGCCATTGCTTCAACAACCAATATCAGTAAAATACTTTTATTTTTTTCAAACTATTGTCAATATTGTGCTATAGATTATGGTATGGATTTATCGATCCCCTTTTTTTTTAATTCATGACTATGTTTGTTCTGTCACAGTTGAAATGTGCCTAAACTTAGTGGATTGTTTAATATTACATATAAATATAATATCAGAAGGGGTTTTGTAGATATTATAGGAATTTCAATGTTTGAGATCATAAGTCAATTGAAACTAGACAACCATTGAAAACCTGGAACAACTGGACAGCCACTACGTACTAGTGTGGGACTCCTCAGAAGTGCGCATACACGATTCCATTTCGCGAGATTCCAACCCAGAACCTATCAGTCTCGCACTCGAACGATTAACCTCTACACCACTGGATCGGCCGGCATCCAATGGTGTGAATGTCTAAATTCAACTAATTCACGAAATTGAGCCACACATTTACCATTGTCATCAGTGGGTTACAATCTCACAACAGACCTGGCTGAACTTAACTGATCACTGCTTCTCACTAGAATTCCAGGATTTACCTTTTGAATCCAGTCACCAGTGAGCATGTGTTGATTAATGCCAGAGGGGATTTTGTGAATATTCTTAGTAATTTCAATATTTGAGATCATGAGTCAGTTATGCAATATTATTATTATTATTATTATTATTATTATTATTATTATTATTATCCCGTGATAGAAATTTCCAAGTATAGTGTCCTTAGATAGGTGAAACAAAATTCATTATACACATGAGATAAAACTTCTCAATTCTATAAAAGAAACACCATCTTATAAATAATCAATAATTTGATGGATAAGTTAATGAAAAACATGAAGAATCCTTCAATCTTTTTGTAATTAGCAACTAACAAAAAACTTGAATGAAAAATATTAAAAAAACATTTACCCATAGAATAAATCATGGTTAATGAGCTCTATAATCATGAAAGTTCGTTACATTTGAAAAACATAGAGATTATAATAAATAAACAAATATATTTGTAGTAGATTCAGATCAAGAACCGATTGATTTTAGACCACCATTGAAAACCTGGAAGCACTGGACGACCGTTTCGTCCTAGCGTGAAACTCTTCAGCTAGCCACTAATAAGCAGATAGTAATTATCAAAATAGGGATCGTGGGGGAATTCTTGGAATTCTAGTGAGAGGTAGTGACCGGTGGAGCTAATCCATGTCCGGTAGAGACAGGTATCTACCTAAGCACAATGGAAGATGGTTGCGCGATTTCATGGATTGGCTGAGGTTAGACATTATCACCATTGGATGCCGGCCGGTCCAGTGGTCTAGTCGTATGGCGTTCGCGCGCGAGACTGATAGAAGCTGGGTTCGAATCCCGAGAGCGGGATTGGTAATGTGCACTGTTAAAGTCTCAAAATAGGACAAAACGGCCGTCCAGTACTTCCAGGTTTTCCATGGTGATCTAATATTAATTATAGGTGTCATTACCAAGGTTTGATTTGATAATTTCGAATAAATTGAGCATTGGGTTGATTGTTATAAATAAAAATAATATATTAGTAATATCCCAATGAGTAGAAAATTGGATTTTCTGACGTTTTTTGATTGATCAAATATTATTCTTGCATTGTTTCGTTGTACTATTTAAACTTGGATTAATTTTAATTTGGTTATTTATTCTCTGAAGAAGTGACTTACACTAAGCCACGAAACGTCAGAAAATCCAATTTTCTACTCATTGGGATATTACAAATATATATTTTTATTTATAATATTAATTAGTTCATGATTTGAAACAAAAACTTAATAATCTCCACAACCCTATACTAGTATTTTTATTATCCTAATGAGCAGAAAAAATAAGTTTTATGATGTTTCGTAACTCACTGCAAGCCATTTCTTCTGAGAATTAATAACCATATCAAAAATCAATCCAAGTTTAAATAGTACAAAGTAGCAACACAAGAATATTATGTGCGATCAATCAAGAAAATCGGCTCTGAACAAATCAATGTCATGTTATTCCGGTCAAGGTGATTCATATGAGACATGTTTCTATATTTGTGTGAGCGTATGTGTGTTCTGTTCAAAAGAAATACTTCAAATCGGCAATAGCAGTTCATGCCATCTTCAACAATCACCAAATCGATTTCTCAAATATCAAAATATTACAAAAAGATTTTTCCAATTACAAACAAATGAGAGTTTCTGAATCGTTCCATATAATACTTAATCCTACTGCTCTCAGCGGAAACGAAGGGTTTACCATACACCCTACTTAGACTATCTGTCCAAGCTATCATGTCTGATTCTATTCACATTTCACTCTATTATCATACATGCAAATTAAACTCTATCCTTTCTCACCACAAAAGTCATATATTGTGACCACTAACCATACATACACTTACACGAATATAGAAACATGTCTCATATGAATCACCTTGACAGAAATGACGTGACATTGATCTGTTCAGACCCGATTTTCTTGATTGATCTCACCTAATATTCTTGTGTTGCTACTTTGTACTATTTAAACTTGGATTGATTTTTGATTTGGTTATTTATTCTCTGAAGAAGTGACTTACACTGAGTTACAAAACGTCAGGAAATTTAACTTTTCTATTCATTGGGAAATTACAAATATATTAATTTATTTATAACAAGTGAATCTAAACTTGATCCCATTGCACAAGCACATGACTATGAGCACTCAGTAGCTAAGTGTATAAGGCGATAGCGCTTTAAAGCGAAGGGTACTGGGTTCGAGTCCCAGAGTGAACATTAATTCTGAGATGCAAGTTTATCCATCTGACGAGTCGCAAATACGACGAACCGCACGTCCTGGATTCCACTGCTAGCCACTATCCATCTTTGCTCAGAATGATACATTTTATCAAGGATCGTGACTAAATAACTAAGTAACAAGATCTAAATACCTTTTTTTCTGGAATGATGATACAAAATGTTGAAAATTGTCAACCAATAGTAAACCTAAATTCATGTCTACTTGCAAATCACTTTTAGTTAAATCATGGTAGACATTTCTGAATGGTTGTTTGTTAAAAAAAGATAAAAATAAACGTAATAATTTCAGGTAATTGATAGAATTTAAACAGAAATAGAAAATAAAAATCAACAAGGACTTTTTGGTATTATCATCGTTGCCTGTCAGTTTCTGACCCTTTGGAAGTGTCTCTATTGAGATGACCTGTCGTATATTCCAAAGACTTGTGAGGTATACTTATGGAAATTCTACTTGTCCAGTCTTCTTTAACACTACTTATTCTGTTAAATTTTCGTTTCTTGACTACCGTTCTATCTATTTCAGCGATTCTCCTGACTCCTGTAAACAACTAGTGTAAGCTTTTTATTTTTGTCACACATATATCTTGATAATACTCATACCATTGGACTGCCGAAGCTTCGGTAACATCTGCAAAGGTTGCAGCCAGTGTGACTGATGCTTTTATTATCCGATTCTCAATCATGATTTACTTAAGTCTCAATCGAGATCGAGCGAAAAAAGTCCCTGTTCCAGCAAACTTCTTCCTTCAACATAAATAACATCAAAAGACAACCTCATCATTGTAGTCTGTACACAGTCATACAGTCACAAATAAAGAAAATTTTTAGTAATCTCATGTCCTCTCTAAAATCCTCTATAAACTGATCGTACGTGAGCATGAGGTACTGAAATTAGCACCGTGACCTTGAAATTATCCAAATGCTTCTGATTAGCTCGTCCATAAATTTTAGTCTCACCTTTATGTCTACTTCCAAATCATGACACAGTGAGTTCTTTAGTCTTCCTAAAGCATAAAAAAGATTTAACAAATTATATATATATATATATATATATATATATATATATATATATATATATATATATATATATAATTTACTTGCAGAATCCCTTTCATGTTATTTACGTTTACGCATATCTAAGTTTGAGCTAACGTTTATTCGTTGAAACAGTAATTATTACTAGTTAATTACTATGAACTTTACAATTAAGATGGTAGTTGAAGGTAGTCAATGGGAAACTCTGGATATAGGTTTCGTGTTACTCAGTACTCGTCAGCAAAGTGTACCTGTAATCCAGAGGGAACTAATGCTTCTTGATGGATTTGATCCTGTGTAATTCAGCTTTACAGTCCAAAACGTTACCTCTGAGTTATCTGAGCCGTAACTGACCTCCACGTGAACCTGAGATGTATTTATAATTGATTGATCACTGAATAGTGATCAATATCATGTAAGTCAGATTTTTCTTAGTACAGATCGAATCTTAACGATCAATAGTATAGGCGTTGTGGAGATTATTAAGTTTTTGATTGAGATCATGAACGGATTGATGTTAGACCACCATTGGAAACCTGGAAGCACTGAACGGCCGTTTCATCCGATTTTGAGACTCCTCAGCAACATCAATCGGTTCATGATCTCAATCAAAAACTTAATAATCTCCACAACCCTTATACTAGTAACCAACATGTGCTCACTAATGACTAGCTTCATGAGGGAATTCTCGGGGTTTTAGTGAGAAGCTGTGATCAGTGGAGCTAATCTATGTCGGGTAGAGACAGGTATCTACCTCAGTAGAATGGAAGTTGGTCGGGCAATTTCGGGATTGGTTGATGTTAGACACCATTGGATGGCGGCTCAGTGGTCCAGTAGGTTAAGCGTTCGCTCGCGAAACCGAAGCCCCTGTGTTCGAATCCCGCGAGCGGGATCGTGTATGAGCACTGTTGACGAGTTCCACACTAGAACGAAACCTTCCACCAATCACTTCATGATCTCAATCAAAAAGTTAACGATCAAGTAAAAACATTTAACTTTAATTATATATGAAAAATGTATGATAAAAAAATTGTTTTTCTTTTTCTTTTCTCTTCTTTTCTTATAGTCTGCATTGTTAATATTAAACAATTTTCAAGGTGGATGTTTCAGTGCAACGGTTTATGAAAGATTAGGCGATTTCTTGGATTTTTTAACATTAATTAATAATGGATTAAATTTTATTTTATATTGTGTTATGTCAAGACAATTTCGATATACATTTTTACAATTATTTTGCCCATTTCTCAATTTATAAGATGCTTATAATGAAAATGATTAGGAAAATGATTGTATATATACAGACAAATATATACCATACATATATATATAAGCTCTTGTGATAACTGTCTTATTGTTTTATTAAATTTAGTAACTGGGTGAACATTAATTCAGTAAAAAATCTTATTAATATTAAGTAAAGATGGGTAGTGACTAGCAGTGGAATTCAGGACTGAGGTTTCGTCGTGTGTGATGAGTCTCAAACAGTTGTCCTTCGGGCAATGAGGTCACGTTCTCAGGTCACTTAGACCATTTTTAAATTAATTTCGTTTTCAGGTACCTCTAGAACAACCATACCATGGTGTTGGCAACCAGTAAGTGATAACCGCCTTCATACTTCTGACAGTTCAAGTTGTCATACCGCATAAGCACAACAAGATAAACACCGGATTCATAGGAGTAGCTAATTCAATGGTGGTAATATATAAAAAAAAGATTGCATATAAGCATATAATAATACAGGAAGAAAGAATTATTTTGTAGAGAGAAAGATATGAAGCGATGCTGAGTATCCACAATGAAGGGTGAGGTTAAAAAAGGTCGACCCTAAAGATGAACACTTCGCCTTATCACACAGATATCCATCTACGGCGGTAAGTTTCCAACAAGTACGGAGTTGCCGCGAAAGTTACTCACAAAATGGCCGTATGTGACCGACCTCAAATAGTTGTCTCTTGGGCACTGAGGTCACGTTCTCAGGTCACTAAGACCACCTCTAAATCTGTTGGGGACGATAGATCCCCAAAACTCATAATTTGCAATTCCATCTTATCGATTAAATGTTTAAATATTTGAATGGCAGTCAATTGATGAACTTATCGATTAAATATTTGAATGTCTGTCGATTGATGAACTTATTGATTAATGTTTAAAAACATTTTATCATGACAATATCGATTATAAATATTTGTATAAATACGGTTGACTTAAGTGCCTGATTGACCTGACCTGACCTGGTATCTCCTGGTTGCCTGTAGAATACACTTCTACGTCTTACCAAGACTTCTTGATCGAGTTAGCTGAGTCGGAGACTACGGACCAGAATAGCCTATCGAGTCTGTGAACCCTGATCCTTCGTTACATTCCGTATAAGCCGAATCAGTAGTAGCATTTAAGCTTTAACGAACTTAACAAAATCAGTCTCATTTTTAGGCACCTTCAGAAGAACCCTTCCACGGTGTGGGCAACCGGGAAGTGATAACTGCCCTCATGCTTCTGATAGTACTCAAGACTGCTGTAGAGAAAAAAACGATTAAAATAATCAACATTGTCTAAAGGACTTAACGATAGATTCAAAATATTCATATATCAATAAAAACTTTAAAAAATTCAGAAAATGTTGGACTTTATTAAAGGAAAAGATTTTTACATTAGGTCAAATATTAGAGTTCTGTGAAGTGATCATGGATGACCCAAGTTCATAATAGACATTGATCGCCAATGCTGATGGAAAGACAGATTTTGTGTCATCCACTGGACTATCGAAGTACTTATTGATCGTTAAAATGATTATGGATGAACTATTCATGAGATTATCGTTTGTTCACACTGTAGGAGCTGGTATTATTTCAAGCCCATATGGGTTATACTAGTCTATGAACAAATTAATCTATTCACTCTTTTCAAGTCACACTTTTACCCTGTCATTTATTTGCTTATTAATCCTGACTGTTTTTATGTAAGCGTACGGATGTACATTTTTTATCTTATTCATCACGTGTCTCTAACTTATTTTTGTCTAACTATAAATATGGATTAACCCTTGATTAAATTCAGTCGTCTCACATTCCCTCTCCACTGCGCATCATTTGGAATCGCTCTCTTTCGTTCTCTTTCTTCACTTCGTCTTTCTGACTGTTTGTTTTGATCAACACATTCAAACTTCCTTCTTCTATTTGACTTATTTAATTACGTTATTCACTAAGGCGAGTTAAGTCTATAGTTGTGTACGAGGATAGGCGTCATGTACAGTTTAATAACAATCATTAAGACGATCAAATGGAGTCAGATATAACAAGGGTCACTAACCGGCGATTCTAATAAAATATTAAATAATGAGATAGGTCTAAATCCTGATTAGGTAGGACCTGGGAAGATATTTTAAACAATAGAAAACGAAATAGTCGAGATTTGTTACGATGAATTGTTACATTGTGATCCACCGTCACCTAGTGATCTCCAGTTTTCAATTGTTCATTTCAATAAGTCTTGAATGGAGCCTAACATCGAACTGATCAGATGATTTACTTTTTACTTACATCTGTTACTTCTCGTGAAAGAACATAGGCCGCTCACCAGCATTCTCCATTAAAACCCCGTCCTCGGCAATCCTTCCCAGCTCTTTCCAGTTCTTATTCATCCTTTTCATATCTGATACTATTTCCCGAAGTAATGTGTTCTTTGGCCATCCTCTTTTCCGCTTCCCTTCACCATTCCAAGTTAGGGCTTCAGTCGTGATGTAGTTTAATGATTTGCGTAATGTATGTCCTATCCATTTCCATTGTCTATTTCGAATTTCTTCTTCAGCTGGAACTTTGTTTGTTCTCTCCCACAATTGACTGTCGCTGATGGTATCCCGCCAATGGATGTTGAGTATCTTACGTAGACATCTATTTATAAATACTTGTACCATATTGATGATGGTTGTAGTAGTTGTGGAAGCTTCAGCTGACTGTATTGACGTTCGTATTGAAGATTGTGACTTTGATATTGGTTGACAGACAGTTGTTTTGAGTAGGATATGTTGTTTGTTCAATTGTAGGAATGCGGTCATTACTTTGCCAGTCGTCGCCTTTACATCTCCATCTGAACCTCCTTATTCATCGATGATGCTTCCCAGGTATGTGAAGAGTTTTAAATCTTCTAGAGTTTCACCATCATGTATGATTGGATTGCTGTTCTCCGTGTTGTATTTGAGGACGTTAGTTTTCTCCTTGTGTATATTGAGGCCTACTGATGCAGAGAGTGCTGCTACCTTGGCTAGGTTTATCTGCATTTGTTGGTGTGTATGGGATAGTTGGGCTAGGTCATCTGCAAAGTCCAAATCGTCTAATTGGTTCTGAATTTTCCTCAGATATCTATATCTTCATATTCCAGTCCTACATTAGGACGAAACGATGATGCAGTGATTCCGAATTTTCAATGGTGGTCTAACATTCATCAATTAATGTATATAACTCTTAAAGTTACTACAATCTCTACAAACCCCATTCTGATAAGAATCAAAACTTATTTTATACAAACTATCAGTTATATTATACAAAAAAACTTCTGTATTTCGACTAATTATTTGACTTTCCTTTTATTGTTCTTATTGTATAATATGACGGAGACAATATTATGTAAATAATACGTCTTTACTTAACTAGATCACAGTTACTTACTTTCTTAGTTACTTGCGGGTGTTACTCCTCGTGAAGGAGCATAGGCCGCTCACCAGCATTCTCCATTAAAACCCCGTCCTGGGCAATCCCTTCCATCTGTTTCCAGTTCTTATTCATCCTTATCTGATACTATTTCCCGAAGTAATGTGTTCTTTGGCCATCCTCTTTTCCGCTTCCCTTCACCATTCCAAGTTAGGGCTTCAGTCGTGATGTTGTTTAATGATTTGCGTAATGTATGTCCTATCCATTTTCATCATCTATTCTGAATTTCCTCTCCAGTTGGAACCTGGTTTGTTCTCTCCTATAGAAGGCTCTTGTTAACGGTATCCGACCAATGGATGTTGAGTATCTTACGTAGACATCTATTTATAAATACTTGTACCTTATTGATGATGGTTGTAGTAGTTGTGGAAGCTTCAGCTGACTGTATTGACGTTCGTATTGAAGATTGTGACTTTGATATTGGTTGACAGACAGTTGTTTTGAGTAGGATATGTTGTTTGTTCAATTGTAGGAATGCGGTCATTACTTTGCCAGTCGTCGCCTTTACATCTCCATCTGAACCTCCTTATTCATCGATGATGCTTCCCAGGTATGTGAAGAGTTTTAAATCTTCTAGAGTTTCACCATCATGTATGATTGGATTGTTGTTCTCCGTGTTGTATTTGAGGACGTTAGTTTTCTCCTTGTGTATATTGAGGCCTACTGATGCAGAGAGTGCTGCTACCTTGGCTGTATTTATGTGCATTTGTTGGTGTGAATGCAATGGGCGGGCTATGATCACTTGATGATGAACCGATATTAGTTTTGCACAGTCAGAAAATTAAATAAGTTTGGTCTACAAAACTAACATGAAAAATGGAGTGGAAAATATTTTTTGTCTAGTTAACTGTTAATTGACTGAAATGATTCAAAACCAGACAAGTTGACTAATTATTTTGAGTTTTTAAGAGAACGAATTTTGTAAAGCAAAACAATTGCCTATAAAACTACTCAGAAATCAAGTATTGCTCTTTTTAAACAAAAATATTTTTCGAAAAACAATATGAATTTACATGAGTGAAGAGATTTAAGATCAGAAGGGATTTCGTTTTCTCCTGTTAATAATATGGACGAGACTAGAATTTATGGACGAACCAATCACGTATAAGATAACAAATCTCGGATTTTGGCGCAAAATTCACTCATCCACTTGGCTAAATAGAGTTTTGACATTTTAGCTGATGTCAATTTGTGATTAAAACCATAGATGTAATTCCTAACCTTAACCATCAACTGTAAATCATAATTCTAATTCCTCACACAGGTTTATAACCGTCGTTTGATCCTAGTTAGTAGGTGGACACTCTGAAAGTCACTCTAGCGTCGCTCAAAGGTCGTTCATAAATTATAGTCTCACCGTATTATGTTAGTTTTTTCGTATTATTATTCATTATTATAAGTCATCAAATGTAGTTCAAACCCGAATGTCGTCATGGCAGTAATTTAGGTCACATGAACTGTAAAACACTACTGACAATCTGTTTTGCAAGTTAAAATCCACTGAATCTATTTAATGTACTAATTGCATACGACTAAAGTATGTTAATGGTATGGCCTTTACTAAAACTATTGCATTGTCCTTCATACAACTGAACCA